GGGAACGGGGTGGCCGGAGCCCATGGTTGGGGGTGCTCCAGCAGGGAGGAAGATGAATTGACGAAGGGGAGGCCCCAGGGCAGGGAGGGTGGAGAGAAAGCTGCGTCCCATCTCTGGAGGGGTGCAGGATGGTGCTTCCTCCCTCCTGAGGCCCGTCTCGGGTCCTGGAGAAACTCGTCACCACCCATGGGCACTGTTTGCGAGGGCTCGGCGGTGGAGGCTGGGTGGTGGGTGCTCTGTTCGCATTCTGTCCTTAATCTTCACAGGAGTGCCGGGAGGCAGAGCAGCGATGTGGCTCCATTTTACAGACCGGCAAACAGGTTCCCCAGGCTAAATAAGTTTCCACAAGTTACGAAGCAAGTGAGGGTGTGTAGAGAAAGGTCTCCCTGAGCGGGACAGGGCTGAGCTTGGGGACTGGCGCTGGCTGGTGGGTGGGCGTCTTGGTAGTAGTCCCCCAGCTAGGTCTGGGCCGCTTTCTCCACTGAGGTTAAGAGGGCGTTCGTTTTGCCTTCCTCCCGGTGGTTTAGCTTTAGTCTTGTTCTCATAGGGGTTCCCGCTCCGCTGGGCCCTTTCCCATCGCTGCCTGAGGAGCCCTTTGCTCTCACCATCTGCTCGGCTCCGAGACCTGCTGTTGCCTTTTTGGTCGAACAGCATCAGAGCTGGGTAACCCTTCAGGCTCCAGCTTCCTTTCCCGAAGGACCTCCGTCCCCTGGAGCTGTCAGAACCGGCCCAACCCGGGGGCCGGGGGTGGGGTGGGGGGCAACCAGGGATCTTGTCGGTGTCTGGATTTTGGCCATTCTTATAGGTGTGTAGAGGTATCTCGTTCTTTTATCATATGCATTTCTCCAATGACATAGGATATGGAGCATCTTTCCATGTGCTCATTTGCCATCTGTATTTCTTCTCTGTTGAGGGGTCTATTAATGTCATTTGACCATTTTTCAGTTGGGTTACTCATTTTATTGTTGAGTTTTAAGAGTTCTTTCTATATTTTGGATAACAGTCATTTCTCAGATGTGTCTTTTGCAAATATTTTCTCCTAGTCTGCGATTTATCTTCTCATTCTTTTGACATTGTCTTTTGCAGAGAAAAGGTTTTTCATTTTAATGAAGTTCTGCTTATCAATTCTCTCTTTCATGGATCAGCCTTTGGTGTTGTGTCCACAGAGTCATCAGCACACCCAAGGTCATCTAGGTTTTCTCCTGTGCTCTCTTCTAGGAATTTTACAGTTTTGTGTTTTACATTTTGGTCTATGATTGATCTTGAGTTATTTTTTGTAAAGGGTGTAAGGCCTGGGTCTAGATTCATTTTTTGCATGTGGATGTCCAGTTGTACCAGCACCATTTGTTGAAAAGACCACCTTTGCTCCATTGTATGGCCTTTGCTTCTTTGTCAAAGATCAGTTGACCGCATTTATGTGGGTCTATTTCTGAGCTCTCTACTCTGCCCCACTGATCTATTTTGTCTAATCTTTTGCCCATACCACACTGTCTCGATTGCTGTAGCTCTCTCGTAAGCCTTGAAGTTGGATACTATCAGTCTTCCAAGTCTATTCTTCTTGGATATTATGCTGGCTGTTCTCTCCAGAAAAGAGTCCGTTAGTTGATTGGCGGGGTTTTGATTAGGGTTGCATTGAATCTATAGATCAAGTTGGGAAAATATTGAGTCTTCAATCTTGAGTCTTCAAGACAATATTGAGTCTTCCCATCCATCAACATGGACTATCTCGCCATTGATTTAGGTCTTTGATTTCTTTCATCACAGTTTTGTAGTTTTCCTCATATAGATCTTATACATATTTTGTTAGATTTTAACCTAAGTATTTATTTATTTTTTTGGTGCTAATGTAAATGGTATTGTGTTTTAAATTTCAAATTCCAATAGTTCATTGCTAGTATATAGGAAAGCAATTGACTTCTGTGTATTAACCTTGTGTCCTGCAACCTTGCTATAACTATTATTATTTTTAAATATTTATTTATTTTGGCTGTGCCAGGTCTTAGCTGCGCCATGCGGACTCTTAGTTGCAGCATGCGTGCGGGATCTAGTTCCCTGACCAGGGATCGAACCCGGGCCCCCTGCATTGGGAGTGCAGAATCTTACCCACTGAACCATCAGGGAAGTCCTTATAATTGATTATTAGTTCCAGAAGTTTCTTTTTTCTTTTCTTTTCTTTTCCTTTTTTTTTTTTTTTGGCTAATTCTTTTGGATTTTCTCCATAGATGATTATGTCATCTGCAAACTAAAACAATGTTATTTCTTCCTCCTCAATCTGTATGCTTTTTATTTCCTTTTCTTGTCTTGTTGCGTTAACTAGTACTTCCAGTATAATATTGAAAAGATGTGATGAGAAGGGTTTATCATTGATTTCTAAAAATGTCTTCAAATGTCACCTCGGACCTCCTCCCCTTCCCCATCTGTGTCCTTGGCAGCCTCACCAGCACCTCAGGGCTTTGCTGAGATGTCACCTTCTCAGGTCAGGCTTTTTCTTTAATAAAAATTTTGCCCATATTTTCTTCTAGAATTTTTTTTTTTTTAATTTTTGGCTGCGTTGGGTCTTTGTTGCTGCGAGCGGGCTTTCTCTAGTTGCGGCGAGCAGGGCCTACTTTTTGTTGTGGTGCGCAGGCTTCTCATTGTGGTGGCTCCCCTTTTTGTGGAGCATGGGCTCTAGATGTGTGGGCTTCAGTACTTGTGGCACGTGGGCTCAGTAGTTGTGGCACACGGGCTTAGTTCCTCCGCGGCATGTGGGATCTTCCCGGACCAGGGCTCGAACCCGCGTCCCCTGCACTGGCAGGCGGATTCTTTAACCACCGCACCACCAGGGAAGCCTGGTCAGGCTTTTTCTGACCACTGTTTACAATGGCAGCCACACTCAGACTCGGTATTCTCTTTCCGGCTTTACTTTTCTTTACAAGCGCTGCCACCAGCTGATATACCGGATATGGCTTTACTGTGTCTGTCGTCTGCTTCTCCTCACGCTTCACTAGAATGTAAGTTCTACGAGGCAGGGATTCTTGTCTGTTTTGTTCACCACTTCTTCCACAGTGTCTGGCACATAGTGGGTGCTCAATAAACAGTTGTTAAAGTGGATTAATAAATTATGGTATACGTATAGTCCAGATTAGATGAAATGTTGTCTGACATTTTTTTCTGCTTCCAGAGGTAGTTATTTTTCTGGTGTGCATGCTTCCCCTACCTGTTACACTCCCCCCGCCCCAATTTTTGGAAGTATATATTCTTTTTTTTTTTTTTTTTTTTTTTT